GGGGGCACCCCAGCCTCACACCGTGCAGCCATCCCTGCGAGAAAGCAGCTGTCATGCCCTGTCCCTCTGATGGTGCAGCAGGGAAGCCCTGCTCTGGAGCACGTCCTCCTCCTCTACACCAGAGAAACTGTGAGAGTCCTCCTTAAAGATCTCACAGCCTGTGGGAATACGACAACTTTTTGAGACCTTTCCAGGAACTGCAGATGCGTTGCCCGGCCTCCAGAAACTTACCATGTTTCTTACAGGTCTGTGAAGATCTCTCCCCCAGTGAGCTCTCTGCATTCTCCCACCCCACACGGCCTTTTAACTCTCCCTGCCTCACTCCTCACCCTTCAGCATCTGCAGGCAGTGCCCTCAGCCCTGCTGCGCTTTGCAGAGGAGCTGCTCCTGGGCAGAGCTGTCTCTCGGCAGCGCTGCTTGGTTGCCATGAGCTCCCTCCATCCCAGGAGCCCTGCCCATCTCAGTAGCAGAGGGACAGCCCAAGGTGGCACTTTCTTCACCCCCTCTGGGCTCCCTCCAGGTGTCCCTGGGGCTCCAGATATTCTCAAACAGGCTAAAGGAATCACTGATGTTCCCTCCCGCAGCTGAGGAGAGACAAAGATTTACATCTAAGAATACCTTCTGACCAGAGTCAGATTTAGGTCCAAGAATAAACTTCTCTTCTCCCATCACTAGACAGGATTCCCAGACAGGGACAGGCAGGGATCTCCTTTACCCTTGCTGAGGGAAGGGATTCGGCCCTCATTTTGGATTCATAGCCCTGCAGCTAGAAGGGGACTCCGCTCCCTCCCATGCACACCATGAGGTGGCATTCTTCTTGCCTCAGTGCAGGTGTGAACAAGGTCCTGCATGTGAGCTCCTTGCCTCAGGTCCCATTCTGATTTCTGGAGGTGGAGTTCAGGAGTGAGCGGTTCAGACGCAAAGAGCTGGTGCCATTTGAGATGCCAGAGGCGGTCCAAGATACATGCAGGAAACTGCAAACTCGAATGGAGCACTTCATAGAGACAGGGCAGCATCTGGGGGCATCCTCCTGGAGCGTGGTGGGGCCTTCCTTTGGCCAGGTGAACTGGCAACACATGCCCACATTTAGGACAACCAAACTGTCCCTATTTGTTGTTTTCAGGGCAGCCAGAAAGGCGAGCCCTAATCCTTAAACCCTAACCTGAAGACCCAATCCCCGAAGCTGTCTTTCCCACGCTCTAACCCCTTCACCTTCAACCCTCATCGCTCTCTACAACTACCTGACAGGAGGTTGTAGCGAGGTGGGTGTCGGTCTCTTCTCCCAAGTAACAAGCGATAGGACGAGAGGAAACGGCCTCAAGTTGTGCCAGGGGAGGTTTAGATTGGGCATGAGGAAAAATTTCTTGACTGAAAGAGTGGTGAAACATTGGAAGAGGCTGCCCAGGGAAGGGGGTGAGG